CCCCCCCCCCCCCCCCCCCCCCCCCCGCCGCCCAACTCAAGCGAGGTGGGGCTGCTGGGAAAATTACATAATCCCGTCCCCTGGGCAGGAACCGCCGCTAGGTTCCATTTGGGTTCAGTCTAGTTGACGTCACACACTGAACCGGTGCTCCGGAAGCTAAAGGTGGCCATGCTCTATGGGACCACGTGGCTCGAGCAAGCGGAGAAATGTTGCTCGAGTTGTATTTGCAAGGGATCAGAGTTAAGGGGATCGACATTTTTATGTACATGTGGCTTCCAGCCAACCTTTCTCTTGGGAATTTTGGGCAGCTCCCTGTCAGTGCCATTCTTTCTTCATTCCCAGACCCACTTTCCAGATGGGCCCTGAACACTCTTCACCCAGCAGCAGTTCTCTGTCAGAGTGTCCGGGGAGCTTATGAGGCATTCTGGACCTTTAAGTTCCCACCTTCCGGGAGCCGTGGGCCCATGCCCCGCCCTTCGGCCCGCGCTCTCACTGCGCATGTCAGGTGTGCGTTCCCCTCCCCCCAGTCAGCAACGGGCCGAGAGGCGGCGGCGGCGTTGAAGTGGGCGGAGAAGGAGTAACGCTGAGCGACGGGGTCCAGACCGCGCTTACTTGGGGCCGTGGGATTCTCTCCGCGCCGAAGGTAGTAGCAGCTGCCGCTGCAGCCGGAACAGCAGGTTTGTGCGAGGGGCCTCTGGACGCGGGGCCGCTAACCCCGCTAACCCTTGGGGGCACCGGAGGCAACTGTTGGGGCCTAGCGCAGGCCGAGGAATCGCGGCCTCATTTAACAAAGAGTCTGCGGAGCCTCGGGGCACCGGCGGCCAGGTGGCCGGGGAGGGATGGGAGTGCGGGCTGAGGCCGTGAGGGAGGCTTCCGAGCTGCGTAGCCCTCCCACGGCTCCCGCTTTTCTCGAAACTTACCAGGGCCTAGTTGGCGGCTTTCCGGAGGCGGCGCCCGCCCAGCTAGGGAAGGGATTTGCAGGGTGCCCGGCTCCGAGGCAGTGATAGCCACTGGGCGGATTCTGACCCAAGTAGGCAGCGTTTGGGAGATGCATACCCCCAAATTGGGGTTCCCGATAGGCCAAAGTCGCCAAATCTGAAGGCTGTTGAAGACAGCCGGTGGTCCTTGAGGAGATAGGTGATAAGCATCGCCATAGTCACACAAACTTTTTTGCGGCCTGGGAGCCTATTTAATGTGAATAAACAATTTATGGTGTTGGGAGCATACGCACCGAAAGTAGGAGGAAAAACTATCGTAGTAGTCGAGAGTTTTGGGGAATTATAGCCTCCTTATCAATTTAGTGAGCATTTCCTTCTTTGCTTCCACTCATTTAGGTTGTCACTCGATTTCTTGTAGCTTCCCTGTATATTCCTTTTTGTAAATGATGTTTCCATATCTATCCTCTCCCATATACACACCCAGGAGATCCTAAAGAACAGGGACTCTGTCTTAATTCACTTAAACTTTTTAGCGCCAAGCCCAGTTTTGGCACATATGAGGTGAGCAGTGTTTTGTACAAATGTTAATTTTTAGACTTCAGTGGTGGAAAAAAATGTGTTTTTCTGTACCTAGTAGGGGCATTATGTAGTCTAATGTGTAATTCATTTATTCAAGGAAAATTTTTATTGGTGCTTACCGTGTGCCTCACTGCTCTAGGTGTTAGGGATAAGTCTGTGATACCTGCCTTCATGAAACTTAACTTTCTAGTGAAGGGAAGAGACAGATATATAAATTATACTGTATGTCAGAAGATGATCAATACCTTAGGAAAAAAATAGAGCTGGAAAGGGGGATGGGGAGGTGTTGTTGCAATTTACAACTGAATGGTCAGGAAAGTATACAGACAATGCAGACTAGGAGAAGGTGAGAGAGTGAGCCATGTGAATATCTGGGGAAAGGAATGTTCCAGACAAGGGAACAGGAAACTGAAAGGCCTTGAAGAAGACAAAGCTGGCCCATTAGAGGAACAGTGAGAAGACCAATGTGCTTGGAGCACTGTAAGCAAAGGAGGGAGTAGTAGGAGACAAGGTCAAGGAAGAAAAGGGGTGGGCAGAACAGGGTCTTTTAGGCTATTATGAGGATTTCACCTTCACTTTGCAGGAGATAGGAAACATCTGAGGATTTTGGGCAGAGGAGTGATAAGATCTGACATTGTAATAATTTAGCATAATTCACGAAGGAGTGCAGTTCTTTAAATTTGTGATTTATCACATTGATAGTCATATAATCCAGCTCTTAGTTTCTTTAAGTTAACAGAGAAGAGAAGGGATGCTTCTAAAAAGAACTGACCAGTATATAGTGTGTGAGATTATTTTTAGATAGAGTAGTTGCTAATCATTGTCACTAGAACTCTTTCTCCCACTTCCATAAATACAGGTAATAAAAAGAATGTGGTTTATATTATAATCAGTTGTTTTTAGTCCGCTATTTCTAAAGTCATTTAGATCATATCTTCCACCATTGTCCAAAACATAGATTCTTTTTTTTTTTTTTGTCTTTTTCCGTGTCTGGCAACGGATCGCAACCCTCGGTGTTGCCCCCGCGCCTCGCTCAGCCAGTGAGCGGGAACCGGTCCGTATGTGGGATCCGAACCCTTGGCGGGAGCGCCGCCACGCTTCCCAAGTGGTGCACTAGCGCAGTGTGCCACCGGGCCGGCCCCCAAAACATAGATTCTAACCAAATTGTCTTCATGTTCCATGCTTATTCTCACTTCCTAGCTTCTCCTGGTTCTATCTTTCCTTCCTAGAAGGTGGAAAAGACTCCCTAGAAGTCTTCCTTTGCACATCTGTACCCCACTTGCACCATTCTGTGCCTAGCCTGAGTTCTAGCTCACTTATGAAGCTTACCCCCACTTGTAAGCTCATAATTATCGCCAACATTTTTAGTGTCCTGTAGGACTTAGGGATGAAATTCCTGAGTTGAAAGAGATCAGATATTCTCAATTTACTAATAGAAAAATTTATTTCTGGAGAAATAACAATGGTGAATATAATGGCAGCTAACATATATTGAACATTTACTATGTGCCAGGCTTTGTTAAGTGTATTTTTGTTAATGAACTCAGTTTTTTTTTTTTTTAATTTTAAATAAAAAGATGACCGGCAAGGGGATCTTAACCCTTGACTTGGTGTTGTCAGCACCACACTCTCCCAAGTGTGCTAACCCGCCATCCCAGTATAGGGATCCGAACCCGTGGCTTGGTGTTGTCAGCACCACACTCTCGCAAGTGAGCCATGGGCCGGCCCAATGAACTCAGTTTTTTACACCAGTACTTTAAGGTATTTTACACCATTTTATACCATTCTCACCATTTTACAGATGAGGAAACCGAAGTCCAGAGAAGCTAAATAAGTTTCTTGAGGTTCACATCAAGTTACTGGCAAAGCTAGAGTTTGAACATAGCCTGTGCTGCTTTACTATTCTGTTACGATTTTCTACTAAGTCATAGCATTTTAGTGTGTAGAACTATACCAAGTAGGCCTTAAGCCATTTTGAATTTTTCTCCTCAGCCAAGTTGTAGATCTGCTTGAGTCTCCTATATATGAATGAGTATCTACTCTAGAAAACATACCATAAGAGACAAAAAATGAATGTTTTAGTCCATTTGTGTTGCTAGAACAGAAATACCTGAGACTGGGTAATTTTAAGGAAAAGAGGTTTATTTGGCTTACGATTCTGGGACAGCTGCATCTGGCATGGGCCTCAGTACTCATGGTGGAAAGTGGCAGGCAGAGGGCGGGTACAAGCAGATCACATGGCGACAGGAAGCAAGAGAGAGAGAGAAGGTGCCAGGGTCTTTTTAAGCAACAAGCTCTCGCGGGAACTAATAGAGTGAGAACTCTCTTATTAATCCCCCCTCCCCCAGGGAGAGCATTAATCCATTCATGAGGGATCCG